TGAAGGACAACAGAATGAGGCTAAATAATCTGAAATGTGACATAGCATACTAGACAATCTCGTCTCTATCACAGGTACTTTTCCATCAGTGAATTAGAGGGTGTGTAACAGCAAGAAAGCAGGATTTCCACGAGTCTAGCATCAGTCTTCACCCCTGCACAATGAGCTGGTGATGTCTTGTTCTGTCCACCAAGTGTGTATGTGGAGTATCTTCTTCCTGCTTATGGCGACAATGCAACAACAGTGGGAGCTAGCCAAATCTTTGAAATCAAACCTTCTCCCCTCCTACCCTGCAGAGAGCATCCCAAAAGTTACCTTTCATAGGCTTCACTAGAACACAAGTGTTCTGCACTGGGGATGGGGATGAGGTGAGAGAGGGAGATGGTCCAGGGTTCTTTCTGGATCTCAGTAAGAATGACTTAATAAAATTTCTGTTTTAAAAAGACAGAATAAGAAGCAGCACAAAGGTAGCAAGTAAATCTTATGTCCCTTCAGATGCTGGGAACCCTGCATTCATGCAGCATTAGACAGGCCCCACATGGATTTTCCCTTAGCACACTGTACAAATTCTGTCTCCTTTTTGGTCATTCAAGATATTATGCAATTGTTCTTACAATAAGAAAACCTATGTTCATAAAGGATGTTCACATGGGGACTTCTTGCTACACTTCAGACAAAGGCATGGCCATGCAGGTGGTGTAATTGTTGGTACCAAGCAGGAGCTGCCTGACAGTCAACCAGCTAAGATTATGCTGTGGCCAAGGGACATGTGTAAGGACACAGCCTGAAAGCCACACTGTACATAGAGCACAGCACAGACCTGCACCTGCTGAGGTTAACTGTTACGTGGCTCACTAACTCCTTGATGTGCACTTATCTCCCAGTCAGGATCTCTACAACAGGCTGTTAAACTGCAAGGTAACTCACAGACTAGAGAAGATCCAGATCTTGAGGGGATGAAAGGGCCTCAAATCAAATCTCTAAGTTCTTCCCGTGCTTACAGGACTCTTGATCCTCTCAGGCATCTCATACTCTGCCCTAATACTCCCAGCTCCCTTATTCCTGTGTTTCCTTCCCTCCCTGCCTGCCCCACTTTGGACCCTGCAGCAGCACTCAGCTGAGCATCCTCAGTTGGTCATGGAGATGAAGCATCCTCCTTGTCTTCTGTGGCATTCTCTGCAGCACAGGCTGCTGCAGCCAGGACAAAGCAGTTAGACATAGACTCAGCCTGTTTAATGGAGCATATTGCACACAGTGACCCTTGCAGAGTAGCTCAGAAACAAGCAAGTGGTCAAGAGGCCACCTGCCCCTCACAAACAGCATTTTATGCTGACCTTCAACATTGCCCCTCTCCAGCCTCTCTTTTTCCCAGTGTTGTAGGTGTTAGGTTGTGTGGTTAAAGGTTCATCTCCACAAACACAAAGGAGTACAAAGGTACAAAGGAGCAATGACAGGCAGTGGAATCCCAGCAATCTAGGCAGAGGAAGGAACATCCTGATGTGGCTTTTCCCTGGGCTATCAGAGGAGAGGGACAGACCACACTGTCTGTGTTTGAAACCCACTAGAGGAGTATTGGCTCTTCCATGCTCACCTCACATACTGAAGGGGAGAATGCACTTCTTTCGCCATGCCCTGCATCTAAACACCTGTCAGAGGAGACCAAAAAAAAAAAAAAAGCTTAAACTGTGAATATTAACAGGCAGCACATGACTCTCTGTGTGTGTATGGCAAAGTCTGTGTGTGAGTTCTGAACTGTCAAACAGAAGTCAGCTACTTGCTAATTGCAACCAGCATGGGCTGGTTGTAAATTTTGCTAATACCTGGAATAAGCAAAGGTGGCTTGTCCTGAATCCTACAATTAATAGAGTGATAGGACACAGAACCATTAATTGGGAGGCTGATCAGGCATTGTACTACTCACATAGACAATTGAGATTGGGAAAACCAGGTGTGTGAAGTTCCAGGAAGAAAAGGTGATGCCAAAAAGAAAGGTTCTCAAAAAGAAGAAGGGATCTCGAAAAGAAGAAACGGATGCAGAATGAAAAAGATTAAGATTCCGGTTGGACGAAATATCCTGGAAGTGGGATAAGATCTTGGAGACCAGAGAGCTGAGTGGAGGCAAATGCCAGACCTTGATCAGCAACCTCCACAACTGGTAATGGCAAGTAGGTGCACAGCAACAACAAACACAACTTTCTGCCTGACCTTCCCAGACCTGCAGTAACCTCCCTGCTGGCAAGGGAAGTTGTGGTGTCTGGATTGTAGCACTGTGTGTGTGCTGAACATCATCAGCTCACATGTATGAATGTGTGTGTGAGAGAGAAATAATCAGGTAGGGGCTAATCTTGTTGGCTGTTGTCCCGGCCCAGTTATCCCGGGAAGGGGGAGATTCGTTGTTATACCCAGAGTGAGATTAAGACACAAACGAGGTCAGATGCCGCTAACAAAGGAGTTTATTTTTGTTGTAAGAAAGTAGCGATAGGAGAGAGAGAAAATAGAAAAGGGGGAAAATTTAGCAAGCAGTCGGGATAGAATTGCAAGAGATAGTCACCACCATGGATCCAGCGGCGTCCCGTTGGTCTTGTCGTCTTCGGTGGGGAGGGTTCCTCATCGCGGTTTGGTCTCACAGTCTTTTATAGGGACTCTTGCCCCCTGCGCCCGCTCTCAGCAGCCGATCCCATGGGGTGCACAGGACCCCTGCGTGACCACTTGCGTGCTTTGGCGGGCTTGGGGTCCTCTGTGTCCGGACCCCCCATGAAGCGATGTCGTTGTTCTTTGTCCTTGATGTGAACTGGTCTCCAGGGGCCCATTGCATCTGTTGATAGGCCATTTGGCCCCTATCTATTCAAGTCTGCAGGCAATCCCTGCTCCCAAGCCACCAAAAGTCAAGCCACCAGGAAGTTTCACAACTTTGTCAACAAGCTTTGAGACAACTCAAGATAAGGTCTCAAACAAAACTTAAATAAAACCTAGAGTCCAGACACACTGCAGGTTGTTGTTTATTCTGATTTTCCCATGATATCACCACAATCAGTCCTGTCTTCATATTAAATTCCGTTTCTATTTTCCTGAGTGAGGATGTCTCTATTTTGTGTGTAAGGTCTAAGTGCCAGCAACTGTAAAGGGAGCCTGGACCATAGGGAAACATGGACCTGAGGCACCAGCAGAGTTGAGACTGCAGTGTCTACCCATTGTGAGGGTGTGTATGCCACTGTGTACAACTGCTAGTCAGCACTAAGCTGGACTAGTCAGCAAGCAGGGTAAGGGACTTGGGACCTAGGATCTGGAGTGGCCATAGGTCTAGTCCAGGTACTGAAGTGACCAGAGGGTCTGAGAGTCAGCTACCAGAGGGACTGGGAAGCCCAAGCCAGCTGTTGGAGAGACCAGAGGATCTGGTAAGGTTGTAGGTCAGGAACAGCTATGGAAGAGATCTGTTTGCATGGTTTGTTGGTACCTGAAGCAGCTGGGAGACCATGACATCATCGGTCCAAGTACTGTATAGGCTGTCTAAGGTCAGCTACTGATGGGGCCCATGTGGCTTCTGTGTGTACATATGTATATATTTTCCACTGAGTGTCTTTTTCTTGATTAGCCTGACAGGGAACAGGATTAAGGCTGGTCGTATTTTATATGAGGGCTTTGTTTTCAATGAGTATGGACCAATGTGACAAGGCATATGCATGTATGTATGCATGTGTACATGTGCCAGTTAGAGAATACATGCTCAGCCTCACTACTTGGCTGAACATGGGAACGAGTGGTTGCAGCAAGGTACTGGATGTGGCAAGTCCTAACAATAGGATTTATCCTATGCTAGTATCTCAGAAACAAAAAGCTCTGTACACTGTCGAGGCAGCGAAATCCTGGGAGGCAGCGAAATTCTGGGAGGCAGCGAAGGCATTAGGGGGAAAGTGATGGAGGAGGCTGTTTAACTGAAACCAGTATGAACCAAGGTACAGAAAGTACAATGCCAAATAATTACAATGCTATGTCTATTTCAGAATAAAGTGGTGTTTACTTTCTGGAAGGATCCCCAGAGTTCCATACCTGAACCTGATTTACACTTGAGATTAGTTTTTGTACTGCCTGTTGGCAATCAAAACAGTGTCCCTTCAGACACTTTACACAGAAAACCTTGGCTTTAAAACCAAATGAATGGAAATGGAGGAAGCTGAACAGAGTGTAATAGCTCTTTGTTTTGCCTGTTGCCTGAGAAAGTACACAGAACTTTCTAATAAGGTTTCCCTAGTCAAAAAGACAGAGCTGAACAAGTCACATTTGTCCAGATGCTACAGGTAAGGAAACTCTTGTGTATAAACATTATTAATTTTCTTTTAGCAATGATTATCTGTTTTACCTCCAAGTGTAGCTTTCAGGTTGTTCAGCAGTCTGAAGTGAAATTAGACATAGATCAAGCAACTGCGGGATTTAATATCGATGTATTTCACTAAGGTAAAGAGGACACGGCAAAGGATTAGAAATGCTAATAGGTTTAATGGTAAAATCGGAATTATTCTGTGGAGTGTGCATTCATTTTAATATGGACTTTATTTAAAATACCTTCTTTGAAGTTTTTCTGACTTCACCATAACTGATAGCTGAAATCTTCATCACGATAGAGAGCTGTTACTTTCTCCAACAGAGAATCCTCACTTCCCCCCAACCCCCAAAAAAACCCAAAACAAGAAAAAAAAAAATCCTCACTTCCCCCCCACCCCCAAAAAAAACCCAAAACAAAACAAGAAAAAAAAAACTAGAAAAAGAGAGATATCAAGGGTAAGATAGGCTGTAAAGTTGTGCAAGATAGCTCAAAACTGCTCAAAGTTTGTGCAGAAATTGGAACATACAATTCCAATCTCAATGGCTCAGCACAGTACACTTTCCACTGGAGCTGGAGGGAAAAGGAGGCAGAAAGAAGCTGCAGTGTAAAGAGTATAGGACAGAATATTCTTAGGAAAACTTTCAATTTGTTTTCATTTTGCTTGCTCCTTCCCTTGCAGATCTCCATGGCTGCAGTTTGTGCCGCCTCACTTCCAGCACAACATGCAGAATGAAACGACTGTCACAGAATTCATCGCCTTGGGATTCTCCAGCAACCCAGCCCTGTGGTTCTGCCTCTTTGGCCTTTTCTCTGCCCTCTACTCTGCTACTCTTATGGGAAACACACTTGTTTTTGTACTTATCTGCCTAGATTAACACCTCCACAGCCCCATGTACTTTTTCCTCTGCCAGCTCTCCATTGTGGACATCTGCTACGCTTCCAACTATGTCCCCCACACGCTAGGGAACCTTCTTGGACAAGGCAGAATCCTTTGCTGGGTGTGGGACACAGATACATCTTTATTTAATCTTTGCACTTACAGAGTGTGTGCTGCTGGCTGTAATGTCTTATGATCGCTATGTGGCAATCTGCCACCCTCTCTGCTATGTCCTCATCATGAACCGAAGGGTGTGCTTCACCCTTGCTGCGGCTTCATGGGCTTTTGGGTTTATATTTGGTACACTACAAGCCTCTCTGGCTTTACACCTGCCTTTCTGTGGCCCCTGCAAGGTTGACCACTTCTTCTGTGAAATCCTTGCTGTCTTAAAGCTGGCCTGCACTGACACTATATCAGGACAATAAAGTCCTGATATTCACCTGCTGCGAAGGAAGCGCTTACGTGAAATCCC